GGCATCGTATTCAATTTGTTGCGACACATGTAATTGCTACTTATTCATCTCCACCACTGTTTTCATCTCCAGTGCTTTCTTAATATCCTCCCACTCTCGCTACGACCTTCCCCTCCCGTGCGTTCCATCAGTGTCCTACAGATTGGGCGCCTCCTATGACTTGCAGCTGGCGCTATGGCGAAACAGACCTAGGCGGCATCCATCTTTTCTACCACGCTGAGCTCGTTCCCACTACCAAACAATGCTCGAAAGAACCAGAGCTAACCGTAAGCAAAACCGGCCGGTCACAACGTCAGATAACCCGTTTGTGCGTACCTTACACGCACTGGTCTGCTGTGACTGAAATTTGCCGAAACGCACAAGGCCAATGTGCACATGCTCCTGCAGGACTGATTGTTTTGAAACCAAACCTGAAAATTTAACCGCGTGCTGGTTCTACGGGAAGCCTATGTACGCGCGTGACAGTGAAGGTGATCATGATTGTTCTAGCGGTTTGTGTGTGTGCGCGGTGTAGGGCGATTTTCCCTTATGCGGCCCGCGTGGCATATGCAATGGACCAGCACCGGGGCTAGGTAAAGGCACGACAGGCCTTTTTTGAGACGCGCTCCCTCAATATAAGGGGGAGTGTAGCACGCATATGTGCAGGTTCACGCTGAGCCAACCCCCTGCGTTCACCTCTTCCTTCGGTCTTCTCGACACTGAGCACAAATAGGTGAATAAAAAGCGAGTGTGGTAGATAAACCAAAAGTCTAACATGGCTTAAAACTAATTCACACACGCACGTCATCGTTACGGTACACTGCGAGTATGTCGTGACACCCACGGCGGGCCTCATCGGATACGACGGCCAAACTGTCGTAGTGTAAGGTGGTACTCGGGCTTTGGCGTTTCACCTGACGCTTTCATGATAGCTCACGTAACCAGGGGGGATTCGTGTGGTGTTTGCGTGTCTTCGGTCACTGGGCAGCGGGGAGGCGTGTGTAATGGGTGTTTAAACAATGCTCTCCCAGGCGCAGTGGATTTGGAGGTGACCCATAGAGCATTCGCGTGTTTGGGATGT